TGCCTTGTGTACTCTCAAAGATTTTTCTTGCAAGGAGTTTCTCTTATTAGAACACGGATTTTTTCATTCGCCCGGGATGCAGTGGGAGGGGGAGGGGATGGGGAGAGTATTTTTGTGGTCTGAACAAAGAAATTTCACTGGTGGAAAGAAAGTTATTGCTGAAAGAAAATATAGTCTTGTTCAGTAATGCATTGTGAGTGTAATCTAGTCGCGTGTGCCTAGTCGATTGGTCGCGGAATAATACAGCATAAATGGTCGCTATCCCGAAAATTGCTGTTTTGAACAAATCGAAGGTAAAGTTTTTAGACCCTTGTTCAGTTTCTCTAAAAGACAAGGAGAGTTTTCTCTATAACCAAACAAATATACTCACCAGTGAAACCAAATTTCTCCTATAGGTAGGGCAATGCCCACTTTTGGTGAAGGTCAAGATATTTGGAAACCCCCTGATGTCTGTGTTAGCCCGCTTGCCCTTCAGAGCGACCAAATGTACCTGTAATGATAAAGAACAAGTGGTGGGTGTAACAAATCAAACCTCATGTTACAATGTGAGGGTAATGGAAGGTCAGAAGGGACGTAAATCCTTGCGTTCTCGGAAAACAGAATAATTACACTTATCTGTTTCATTCAATGTTCTTTAAAAGCTTCGACTCTGGATGTTTTAGGGTATGAAAATCTCAAATGTCATCTCATAGCGTCTCATTGTGTATTTCCATGAGTGGTGTGATTGTTCTTGTCGTTTCGTTCCGTTCCGTTACTTTTTTTTCAGAAGCTTAGTTTATTTAAGTCCTATAACAAATAACGATTATTTACTGCAAAAATACAAGATGAATGTTGGGATTATAAAGAAGTAAAGCCCATAGACTTGTATTCTAATACCTAGATCGTGCACCCATGCGTATTTCCGGTTCACAAAGAAATTTGTCACACCTTGTCCGCAGTGTTGGGGTCACTACAGTCGGAACATGTCCATATCTGCTCTCCCCCCCCACTCTCTTCAGGATCTATCCCAGAGTCCGTCTGCTTCAAGTCTCCATCATAATTTGGTTGGAGATCCGTCGGACTGGTAACAAAGGAATGCGCGATAGTGTGGTCAAAATTTCGTAGCGCCACTTTTCCTCCAATATCTCTTTAACAGGAGAATCAATGTCACCCACACTTTGCACAGAAGTTTGTATCACTTTTGATCAGCTTAATCATATTTTCTTTCACCAACAAGTGAGATTTGATTTAAAAACTGTTCTTCATAAATATACAAGGTACTACAAATCTCCGTCTCGAGGAAACTGGGAGCGTCTTCACACATTGGACATACTTTACTTTACTTTTACCTTTTCATCCTCTGTTGCCGTCAAGCATCGAGGGGAGATGCAGTTTTCTATTTTAGGCCAGCTCCGCAGCTCTTTCAGTTGTGATGTTATGTTTTCTTAGGGTTTCCTTGACACCCTCGATCCACCTTGTGCGTGGCCTTCCTCTTCCTTTCTAGCCTGAGTGCTTGGTGTTATAGGCTCTCGAGGCTGGCTGGTCACATTGGAACGCAAAATATTATGTCCTACGTCACTGCTGACCAATGACACACTTTAGCGGCTGATCTTGTAACAAAACATTCATTTTTACTCTTACAGTGAACACTTTTTGGCTCTAAACGTTCTCAAAACATGCGTTCAATAAGCACAATGTCATGATCAGAACAAAATAACGTTGGAATTGCTTATAAAAACGATGTTGTTCCAGCTCATTGGATGTAAAACTTTAAAAAATCTGTAGACACTCCCCCCCCCCTTTTTGTGGTATTTTTTTTATTTATGTCTATTACGGAAAGTTCTAGAATAAAGCTAACAGACGTTTACAAAAATGTTGATCTGTTACCTCTTTACGGGCGTTTGAGACCTGTGTTTTAGGACAAGGTTTCAAAAGAGGAAGACTAAGTTTCCCAGAGTACCACTTCATCTGGCACTCACTCACATCCACAAACTGCAGCCCCCCC